AGTTTTGAGAAAAAACATAGAAATCTGTATGAGAGGGTGCTTTTTATACAGTTAAGGGGGATGCCTTTACTATTTTCACACATACAAAGGCATCCAAAGATCTTAAAAGAATAGATACCATTTTGCTAAGGTAATATTATTAAAGTCTTTCTAGATACTATACTTTTAAATAGTTCTAAGTAATGAAGTTTGTCACAGATGTTTTGTTTTTTCCCTCTAGAATGAACTCATAGTCTGAGTATTAGAGCTTCTGTAAATAGTTACTGGGCACCAATTAGTTTGATTAACCACACTTCTGGTTGCCTTTTTTGGTAAAATCTTTCTTAGATTTATTTGATAAGTGGTTATATTCTTTCAAGCTTTATTAAATGGTAAAGCTAATACATAATAAGATGTTGGTAATTTAGGTAGAGATTTTTTTATTCATAATTTTTAGCCAAGTAAAAGTTGCTAATTATCAGATGTACATACTAAAATTCTTTACCTTAATTGATCTCTCAGTTCTCATCTTTTTGCAAACTGTTAATGTAGGCATCTAAAGGATTCTAGGAACAAGCTCATTATCCTTTTGTTTAATGAATTCCTAGCTTCCAGATTTGCAGAGTGGACTTGAAGTTCTTCTCAACTGGGGCATTTTCTGACTAAGGCTTTTTTTTTTGGTGGAAGTAGGGAATGTATTTTTGCTTTAGTCATATGATATATATCATAATAATGCTGTAGTAAGGAAGGTATTGCTAATTAATTGATTAGGACCTTATCACCTCACTTTTCTGACTTAGTAACTCTGCTTATATACTAAATGTTCATCTACTCTATTTAAATAGAAACTAGAACTGAAGAAGTAAATCTTAGGTTTGGGATTAAGAAGAGGGACAAATTAGTCAGTATTTTAGATGCTCCTAATTGTAGAAAAATCGTTCTTGCTAATAAGTAGTTTTCTTTCATAATAAAAGATCAGTGAGAACTCATCACTGATGAGCATATAACTACAGTTAAGCTTAATGTCTCTGAAGAATCAATAATGAAATACTGTATTATCCACTCCTTAGTTTTTAAATTTCTTGATTTAGCAGATTGTACCAATTACCATTAACAAATTAAAAGTTATTTTATAAAAATTCTAGACTTGCATAAATTTACATATTATAAAACAGGGCTAAACTGACAATTGAATGGAAGATAATTTTTTAGTCTGATATTTAGCTGTGAGGCTATTTCAAGAGAGTAATTTGTGCTTGTGCTGCTTTACTATCCAAACAATTTGCTATCTCACATATATGAAATATTCCATATTTTATAGTATTTAATGCTAGTCTCAGCAGGCCTGCCACTTGTGGACTGTTTTAATTGTTTTCCAAATGATTTCTGTTTTTTTGTTTTTATTTTTTATTTTGCTATCATTAATGTACAATTACATGAACAACATTATGGTTACTAGATTCCCCCCATTAACAAGTCCCCCCCACATACCCCATTATAGTCACTGTCCATCAGCATAGTAAGATGCTATAGAATCACTACTTGTCTTCTCTGTGTTATACTGCCTACCCTGTGTCCCACCCCCCTACATTATATGTACTAATTGTAATGCCCCCTTTTCCCCCCTTATCGCTCCCTTCCCACCAATCCTCCCAAATCCCTTTCCCTTTGGTAACTGTTAGTCCATTCTTGGGTTCTGTTCCTTCAGTTTTTTCTTTGTTCTTATACTCCACAGCAAATGATTTCTGTTTTATCATCTTCTTCCTCTCTGTCCCTCATGCCAGTCTATTTGTCATACTAGTGCTAAATTAATTTTCCTGTAAGACCACTTTGCAGGGTGTGTGTGTAACACCTTCTCACATGAGAAGGTGAGAAACTTTTCCATTGCCTACAAACTAGAGTTCAAATTACTTGACCTACTATACAGTTAGATAATCTGGGTTATAATCCCAGCATCACCATTTAGCTAGTATGTAATTCATTAATTTTTTCAGCAGATACCCATTGAAGACATATTGTTTGCCAGTTCACAGTGGTGAACAAGACAGACAAGTCCCCAAGCTTATGTTCTAGTAGTATTTACTGTCTTGGTCTCCCTGCCCTTCCCATGAGCACAACCAAGGAAGGACTCAGCAGCTGCCTCTTACTACTATTCTTGTTTTCTTGTAACTATATACCACACGCCTCTTGAATGTAGAAACTGCATGTTAGGTCTCTGTTCTTCCAGTTCTGTGGTTTTATTTATAACAGGTTTTCAGTAAATTGTGATCATAATAATATGTGAGTAGTCTCAATTTTTTCAGTTACTTGATTTTTAAAATTACTGCTGATATTTTAATTAATATTATCAGATAACACTGAAACACATTTCAGAACAATTAAAAAGATGTAATAGAACACATTTCAGAACAACTAAAAAGATGTAATAGAATCTGATCTGATTATTTCCTACCAGCCTTTTTTTTAAACTAGCAGTTTGTTCATATGTATGTATTTTTTTAGGCCTTATTGAATTTGAAGAATGTGACCCTGCTAGTGCAGTTGAAGGTAAGTTGACTAGTTGTAATGTGTGGCAGCTAGCTGATAACTTCTGTTTATTGAAGAAATAAAACGGGGCTGGTATCCACTGGTGTCAGCATGTCTGTGGAGTGATGTAAAGGACCTAAATATGGTTTGAAGGTCTGCAGATACTAATCTTTACTTAATAAATAAACAGTAGGTTTGCCCAAAGCAATGTTAGTATGTTAGAATATTTATTTTAAATGATTAAATATTACATGTATTTGTTTTCAAGTAAACATTGAGATTGTTTGCTCCATCGGCATCCATCTTTAAACATTCTCATGTCATAAATATAAAACTCATCATTACACATTAAAGTATAATGCTTATTCTATAGTGGGTAGCATTTCAGTAATTAATGAGATTGTGCATTAATATTAATATTACAATCATTAAAAATGGGTGATGATTTGACTTGGAGAAAGGGTTCACAACCCTTCTTGTTTAAATTGATGTTTTTCATACTATGAAACCCAAGAAATACCTGCTATTTTTGTCATGTTTTATGCATCTCACTTTGTGAGCTATTAGAAATAATTTGAAAGCAGTTTTCTGTTTTTCCAAGACCTGTGTAAGTATTTGGAAAAATGGTTTGCTGTCATCTGTAAGGTTATTATTGGAGTAGTCAGGAGCTCTGGGATATACTTAGTTGCTAGCTATTTGAGAGCATAAGTATTTAAGTTTTCAAAATTTCACTTTTATTGTAAAATGTGGATAATAATTAATGCCTACTCTGTGAGAATAAAAATGTATTTGATTTTTAAAATATTACAACATGCTATGCAACTGTACGGTCAGAGAGTTAGGTTTGTATGAAAATAAGTACATTGTTCTAAGACACCTGGGTTGTAATGCTGGCTATAGTATTTACTAATTGTATAACACAGAGTTAAAAAAACAAACAAAAAATATCCTGGAGTTCCCTTGTATATAAAGTGAGAAGTTAGCTTAATTGTGCTCTAGTTGTCAAGGGTAAGCAGCTAAACTTTTAAGTGCTGAATCCATCCACAGTCAATAGCATGACTGACCCTTAAAAAATTTGTCATGTAAGAAGAGGAAGAATTGCCATATTAGGCAAAATAAAGATATTTGTTCCTCATATATGGTAGATCAACTTACTGTTTATATTAGAGAAAACATGGGTGAAAGAATGCCGTATTTAAAAGTTTTCCATGTTTTATTGTTAATGGGTCTGTTACATCTTTTTATTTAAAACAGTGCATTTATATTTTGGACCCTCTAAACAACAAACATGATTTGACCTGCAAAATATAACACATGGCTGATATATTTTCTTTGAAGTTTTATGATATCTGCAAATGCTTATTTTGCCTGAGGTGATTTAAGGGAGGCTTAGGAGAAAAAAAGACAATTTCATTGATCAAGTAAATGTTCTATAACCCTTTGTTGAATAGTAGGCTATATTATGTTAGCATGAGAGAAGTCTAAACAGACTATAATTCTGATTTAAATATTAGGGCTTAGCAGTTGATTCTTTTATTTCTTTCATCCTAATTTAATATCAGTTTATGAACAAATTATGCATCAAGATACAAGATATACTATGGTTACTAGATTCCCCCCATTAACAAGTCCCCCCCACATACCCCATTATAGTCACTGTCCATCAGCATAGTAAGATGCTATAGAATCACTACTTGTCTTCTCTGTGTTATACTGCCTACCCTGTGTCCCACCCCCCTACATTATATGTACTAATTGTAATGCCCCCTTTTCCCCCCTTATCGCTCCCTTCCCACCAATCCTCCCAAATCCCTTTCCCTTTGGTAACTGTTAGTCCATTCTTGGGTTCTGTTCCTTCAGTTTTTTCTTTGTTCTTATACTCCACAGCAAATGATTTCTGTTTTATCATCTTCTTCCTCTCTGTCCCTCATGCCAGTCTATTTGTCATACTAGTGCTAAATTAATTTTCCTGTAAGACCACTTTGCAGGGTGTGTGTGTAACACCTTCTCACATGAGAAGGTGAGAAACTTTTCCATTGCCTACAAACTAGAGTTCAAATTACTTGACCTACTATACAGTTAGATAATCTGGGTTATAATCCCAGCATCACCATTTAGCTAGTATGTAATTCATTAATTTTTTCAGCAGATACCCATTGAAGACATATTGTTTGCCAGTTCACAGTGGTGAACAAGACAGACAAGTCCCCAAGCTTATGTTCTAGTAGTATTTACTGTCTTGGTCTCCCTGCCCTTCCCATGAGCACAACCAAGGAAGGACTCAGCAGCTGCCTCTTACTACTATTCTTGTTTTCTTGTAACTATATACCACACGCCTCTTGAATGTAGAAACTGCATGTTAGGTCTCTGTTCTTCCAGTTCTGTGGTTTTATTTATAACAGGTTTTCAGTAAATTGTGATCATAATAATATGTGAGTAGTCTCAATTTTTTCAGTTACTTGATTTTTAAAATTACTGCTGATATTTTAATTAATATTATCAGATAACACTGAAACACATTTCAGAACAATTAAAAAGATGTAATAGAACACATTTCAGAACAACTAAAAAGATGTAATAGAATCTGATCTGATTATTTCCTACCAGCCTTTTTTTTAAACTAGCAGTTTGTTCATATGTATGTATTTTTTTAGGCCTTATTGAATTTGAAGAATGTGACCCTGCTAGTGCAGTTGAAGGTAAGTTGACTAGTTGTAATGTGTGGCAGCTAGCTGATAACTTCTGTTTATTGAAGAAATAAAACGGGGCTGGTATCCACTGGTGTCAGCATGTCTGTGGAGTGATGTAAAGGACCTAAATATGGTTTGAAGGTCTGCAGATACTAATCTTTACTTAATAAATAAACAGTAGGTTTGCCCAAAGCAATGTTAGTATGTTAGAATATTTATTTTAAATGATTAAATATTACATGTATTTGTTTTCAAGTAAACATTGAGATTGTTTGCTCCATCGGCATCCATCTTTAAACATTCTCATGTCATAAATATAAAACTCATCATTACACATTAAAGTATAATGCTTATTCTATAGTGGGTAGCATTTCAGTAATTAATGAGATTGTGCATTAATATTAATATTACAATCATTAAAAATGGGTGATGATTTGACTTGGAGAAAGGGTTCACAACCCTTCTTGTTTAAATTGATGTTTTTCATACTATGAAACCCAAGAAATACCTGCTATTTTTGTCATGTTTTATGCATCTCACTTTGTGAGCTATTAGAAATAATTTGAAAGCAGTTTTCTGTTTTTCCAAGACCTGTGTAAGTATTTGGAAAAATGGTTTGCTGTCATCTGTAAGGTTATTATTGGAGTAGTCAGGAGCTCTGGGATATACTTAGTTGCTAGCTATTTGAGAGCATAAGTATTTAAGTTTTCAAAATTTCACTTTTATTGTAAAATGTGGATAATAATTAATGCCTACTCTGTGAGAATAAAAATGTATTTGATTTTTAAAATATTACAACATGCTATGCAACTGTACGGTCAGAGAGTTAGGTTTGTATGAAAATAAGTACATTGTTCTAAGACACCTGGGTTGTAATGCTGGCTATAGTATTTACTAATTGTATAACACAGAGTTAAAAAAACAAACAAAAAATATCCTGGAGTTCCCTTGTATATAAAGTGAGAAGTTAGCTTAATTGTGCTCTAGTTGTCAAGGGTAAGCAGCTAAACTTTTAAGTGCTGAATCCATCCACAGTCAATAGCATGACTGACCCTTAAAAAATTTGTCATGTAAGAAGAGGAAGAATTGCCATATTAGGCAAAATAAAGATATTTGTTCCTCATATATGGTAGATCAACTTACTGTTTATATTAGAGAAAACATGGGTGAAAGAATGCCGTATTTAAAAGTTTTCCATGTTTTATTGTTAATGGGTCTGTTACATCTTTTTATTTAAAACAGTGCATTTATATTTTGGACCCTCTAAACAACAAACATGATTTGACCTGCAAAATATAACACATGGCTGATATATTTTCTTTGAAGTTTTATGATATCTGCAAATGCTTATTTTGCCTGAGGTGATTTAAGGGAGGCTTAGGAGAAAAAAAGACAATTTCATTGATCAAGTAAATGTTCTATAACCCTTTGTTGAATAGTAGGCTATATTATGTTAGCATGAGAGAAGTCTAAACAGACTATAATTCTGATTTAAATATTAGGGCTTAGCAGTTGATTCTTTTATTTCTTTCATCCTAATTTAATATCAGTTTATGAACAAATTATGCATCAAGATACAAGATATACTTGAGTTTATAATGTATTTATCAGGAACAGTTAATGTTTCTGTAACAATATACATTTATTTTAAGGTATAAAACCAAGGAAAAGAAAGACTTTTGGTTTGCCAGGAATAATTAAAAAAGAAAAGGATGCAGAGTCTGTGTAAGTATATTAAATATTGTAAAAATCCTTTCTATTATGATAATTAAGAATAAAACCATTGTTTAAATTTGAAAAAATTCTTTTGGAAATAATGGGAAAAATACAAACTTTTCTAAACATTTGCTGGTTCCTCTGGTTTTAGTTAAAAGTACTATTCGTATTTTAAAATTTTAATATGAAAGGTTTGTGTCTTGAAGTAGCAATCAAAGACACTTATTTTATAAAATCATACATGCATATTTAAAAAAAGTTGAAAGTTCAGAGAAAACTAAAAATTCTTTTGCATCTTAATGCTTAAGAAACCCATGGTCAACATTTGATAAAAATTCTTCTAGACAAATCTTAAGCATATAGGCTTACATATACATATATGGAAAATGTTTAATGGGGGAGAAAACAAGCCCTAATATGCTTTACACATTTACATTAGGTCATCATTTTTAGATGGAGGATGGAGTATAAATCCAATTTACCTTTTGAAAAAACAAATTAGTATACAAAACATATAATTAGCATATGAGAAATTCAACTGGTATTAGCTAAGTGAAATTTTCTACCTTGGCTACACATTAGAACTACCTGGAAAGTTAAATATATTCATGCCAGGCCTCACCTTAGACTGATTAAACCAGATTCTCAGGGCACAAGGCCCAGCATCATTTTTGTTTTGTATTGTTTTAAGCAGCCTATGTGATTTACTATTGTATACCTGGGGTTGAGAATCATTGAGCTTTGATTAACCAGAAATAAACTGGAATTAAAGGAAGCTTAGTTTCTTTAATTACTCAACCCTTTTAGACTGAAGAGATGCTGATCAAAAGTCTTGATTTTTATTTTGACCTAGTAATATTGGCTGAAAATTCACTTAAAATCCTTGCTTCTCTAGCATAATCACAGAACTCTTGCAGGACTTATTTTGCTGGGCACTTACTTATGTTTTCAGTATAAGAGAACATTTTTTACTTTGGTTGTTCTTGTCTCCTACCTAGTTGTATTATCATCTTGAGTTTCTACCACTCAAAATGTTTGTTTCTTCCCCCCCTGCCAAGTTTTATTTGGTTAACAAATCAAGACCAATTACAAAATGATTTCTATGTATAGATTGTATTTCTGCAAATTTTTTTTTGAGCATTTATGAAGTGGGTATTTGGTTAAGGGGATGGAGTCTATAATCTCGTTTTATAACATTGGAAACATATATTGAAGTCCAAACAATTGATTTGTAAATCAGTTTTTTTTAATGTAGCCAGTTCTGTTATTGATGATATTATAAAGAGTAATGGCCTTAAATGAACATTTTTTATGACATACAGTTTTAATAGCTGTTCATTCTGGGAGCATATAATATTTTTGAATATTCTGTGCTTTTAAAATAGGTTTTCATGATTAGTAATTTTCCAATATAGTCATTAGGCTAGGATATTGGAATAGTTCTACCAAAAGCAGGGCAGAAAGCCAATGATTAAACCACCATACCACCTTTACCTTTCAACACTTCTTGGCAGAAAACATTTTAGAACTCACTTTGCTTAAAATGCCAAAGGCTCTTGGCTTGCTTCTGATAAGCTGAAGGCATTTGAAATGCCAGCAGTTATGGAAGAGGGGTCCTGCTGAAGAGCTTGTTCTTGGTGGGTCTTCATCTGCAGCTCTCATTACAGGCACTGTGAAGGCAAATAGGAGTGATGTACAATGAAGACTGGCGCACTCTGGCGTAAGGCCAGAGAATGAATGACCTATTTGGAACTTTTACACTTAACTTTTATATTTAAACTCTCTCTCTTTTAAAAAAGAAGGAAGTAGAAGTGTTCTGATATCTTAATTGGTTTGATTCTATAGAGGGATTGAATTTACGATTTCAGTGCCTCTCTTGGACCATTTCCTCAGAGTATGCATAGGTTTTTTGATAAAATATTCCTCATTTGAAGGACAAAAATCACATGATCATCTCTACAGATACTGAAAAAGAGTTTGACAAGATTCAGTAACCATTATGATAAAAATTCTCAACAAAATGGGTATAAAGGGCAAGTACCACAACATAATAAAGGGCATATAGGACAAACCCACAGCCAACATCATACTTAACAGTGAAAAGCTGAAAGCTTTTCCTCTAAGATCAGGAACAAGACAAGAATGCCCACTTTCCCCACTTTTATTCAACATAGTACTGGAGGTCTTAGCCTTGGCTATCAGACAACACAAAGAAATAAAAGGCATCCAGATTGGTAAAGAAGAAGTCAAACTGTCACTGTTTGCAGATGACATGATATATTGTACATAAAAAACCCTAAAGACTCCACTCCAAAATGACTAGAACTAATATCAGAATTCAGCAAAGTTGCAGGATACAAAATTAATTCACAGAAATCTGTTGCACTCCTATACACTAACGATGAACTGGCAGAAAGAGGAATCAGGAAAACAGTTCCATTCACAATTGCATCAAAAAGAATAAAATACCTAGGAATAAACCTAACTAAGGAAGTGAAGACCTATACCCTGAAAACTACAAGACACTCTCGAGAGAAATTAAAGAGGACACCAATAAATGGAAATTCATACTATGCTCTTGGGTAGGGAGCATTAATATTGTCAAAATGGCTATTTATGCCTAAAGCAATCTACAGATTCAATGCAATCTCTATCAAAATACCAACAGCATTCTTCAACAAACTAGAACAAATAGTTCTAAAATTCATATGGAACCACAAAAGACCCTGAATAGTCAAAGCAATCCTGAGAAGGAAGAATAAAGTAGGGGGATCTCGCTCCCCAACTTTAAGCTCTACTACAAAGCCACAGTAATCACGGCAATTTGGTACTGGTACAAGAACAGACCCACAGACCAGTGGAACAGAATAGAGAGTCCAGATATTAACCCAAACATATGGTCAATTAATATACGGTAAAGGAGCCATGGACATACAATGGGGAAATGACAGTCTCTTCAACAGATGGTGCTGGCAAAACTGGACAGCTACATGTAAGAGAATGAAACTGGATCAGTCTACCCCATACACAAAAGTAAATTCAAAATGGATCAAAGACCTGAATGTAAGTCATGAAACCATAAAACTCAAAGAAGAAAATATAGGCAAAACTCTCTTGAATATAAACATCAGCAACTTCTTCATGAACATATCTCCCTGGGCAAGGGAAACAAGCAAAAATGAACAAGTGGGACTATATCAAACTAAAAACCTTCTGTACAGCAAAGGACACCATCAGTAGAACAAAAAGACATCCTACAGTATGGGCGAATATATTCATAAATGATACAGCCAGTAAAGGGTTGACATCCAAAATATATAAAGAGCTCACACACCTCAACAACCAAAAAGCAAGTAACCCAATCAAAAAATGGGTAGAGAATCTGAACAGATACTTCTCCAAAGGAGAAATCAGATGGCCAACAGGCACATGAAAAGATGCTCTACATTGCTAACCATCAGGGAAATGCAAATTAAAACCACAACGAGGTATAACCTCACACCAGTTAGGATGGCCAACATCCAAAAGACAACAACAAATGCTGGCGAGGATGTGGAGGATGGGGAATCGTCCTACACTGCTGGTGGGAATGTAAATTAGTTCAACCATTGTGGAAAGCAGTGTGGAGGCTCCTCAAAAAACTAAAAATAGAAATACCATTTGATCCAGTAATTACACTCCTAGGAATTTATCCTAAGAAAACAAGATCACAGATTCAAAAAGACATATGCACCCCTATGTTTATCACAGCACTATTTACAATAGCCAAGACATGGAAGCAACCTAAGTGTCCAGCAGCAGAAGAATGGATAAAGACGATGTGGTACATACATGCAACGGAATATTATTCAGCCATAATAAGAAAACAAATCCTACCATTTGAAACAACCTGGATGGAGCTAGAGGGTGTAATGCTCAGTGAAATAAGCCAGGTAGAGAAAGACAAGTACCAAATGATTTCACTCATCCATGGAGTATAACAGCAAAGCAAAAACTGAAGAACAAAACAGCAGTAGACTCACAAAACCCAGGAGTGGACTAACAGTTTGGGAAAGGACTGGGCTGTGTGGGTGGGAAGGGGGGGATAAGAGATCAAGGGGCATTATGATTAGCACACATAATATAGAGGGGGCATGGGGAAGGTAGTATAGCACAGAGAAGACAAGTAATGACTCTATAGCATCTTACTATGCTGATGGACAGTGACTGTAATAGATTGTACGGTGGGGACTTGATAATAGGGGGATTGTAGTAACCACAGTGTCGCTCATTTGAAATCTGAGCATAAGATTGTATATCAGTGATACCTTAATAAAAAAATATTCCTCATTTATCAATAATAAGGAAGGTGTTTTTCCAAATTTGCTATTTTATGTGACTTCTAAGTGGCTATAAAGAACTGTGGGGTTTGCATTTACCCATTTCTTTGGTGTTTCCATTTAGATTAAAAGCAGTATAGTACTCTCCCTCTTTTTTCACTTTTTCAGTCTATTTCATCCTGTCTTCCTGTAACAAAATTCAGTTTGTACATTTTTCTGGTTTGTGCTTTGCTTTTGGATAGAGAGAGATTACCTGTTTATCTTGCATACTTAGTACTTTTTATTATTGCTCATGACTCTCAAAATATACCTGGTGCCTGTGTTTTCAGTCTTTTATTAAGGTGGCAGCTTCTGGTATTACATGAACTAACTGTCTCAAGCCAAATGCCTTTTAAATATGCACTCTAATTTTTGAGACTTTGTTTTAGAATGTGTATATAGGAATTTTAACCTTATTCCTCACAGCCTCAGTGTCTTTAATTTTACATATTTAGTTCTTTATTTGGTTGGTCGTCTTTATGTTTTAGTTTTATATTTAAAATAAGTTTTTGCTAGTTTGTATCCAAATTGATATTTGCTTATCAGTTAAATGATAAATATCAGTTCTCAACTATATTACATAGTAGTTTAGAAAGCCGTTTCAACTGGAAGTTTACTCAGTTAACGTATTTGGAGAAAAGTAGTTTTGACTTCTGTGTATACTAGCTTATAGAAAATATTTCAGATGAAACCAAAGTCTAAAAAAAATTTCATTTAAAGATGTTAATTTACCAATAAATATAAATATAGACCTTGTTAAAGCCAAGCTTTCTTCTGAGAGGGAAATTTTTTTAACCTTCTCTACCTGAAGAATTAGAAGCCATTAGAAATCCTTGTAGAACTGACAGCTTCTTTGATATAATTCATATGTGTATTCATGGAAAAGAAGTTCTTTTAAAAGTAGTTTTTAAAATACCTGTAAGCTATTTGTGTTGTATTTTGTCATGTATTATGGGTATAGGAATGTCTTTTGAATTTTAAAATTATTTGGTTTATTTTAATCTTCATAATTTGATTTTTCTAATTTTTTAGAGTTGTAGAGTTTAAGTAAAAGTTACGGTTAAGTAAAAGTTAAGCCAACCCTTTTAATATAGTGTAGTTATTAAATAGTTCAAATAGTTGACTATTTCTAATATTTCGTTTGTTTTAATAGGGAATGCCCTGATGCGGATTCACTTGTAAGTATATTTTACTTTGATTCAAAGAATCAAAATTAGTTGTTTTCATTAGGAAATAACGCAGCATATTTGGGTTGAACCAGGTTATGGTAAACTTATCATTAAAATTATTTTTTTTAATTCACTTAATAATTACAGTAAGATGCATTTCTTGATTTAGATTGCCAGATGCTCTCCTATTAAACAGGAGGTAGCTCTGCCTACCTTTAAAAAGTGGACATTTTACTCTTAAAACTGGAGTGGTGCCATAGCATATTGCTTTTTCTTGGAAACATGCCAGATCTCAAACCTGCATATTTTATTTTAAAATATGATATCGCTAATTAATTCATTATATCTATTAAAATACTATTTTATCTGTTCATGTATTTGTTTAAGAGATTGTCATTTTAGAAAATAAAAGCAGTAACAACCACGGTTAATATTTTGTGTGCTTTTTTGTTTTGTTTTGAATAAAATTTGTTTATATATCTTGTTTAAATATATTTCTAATATATAATTTAAAAAGATATCAAATGGAGTCCCCTTGGGTTACAATAGGATAGTAGATTTACCAAATGGTGTAAATAATGTGCAGACAGACACATTTTTCAAATTTTCATTAGACACTGGCCATGTTGATAAGTATAGTACACTCAAGCTGTCTGTCTCCTTTGCTTATTGTTTTTGCTTGTGTAATTTGTTTCTTGTATTCCCAAAACATTTTGGTCCTCTACAGCATAATGGTGTACCAAAGTAAAGAAGCATTTATTTTGTAAAACATTGTGTTTGATGTTACTGAACAAAAGTAAAACTAGTATTTTTCTTTCGTATTTCAGCTTAGAAATAAGAAAATTATGATTTGTTGATAAATTTACAGTGAAAATAAAGAAACACTTTTAATGAATTTTAGGATTACAAACAGGGTGTTTTTGGAGTTACAACATTTACCTTACCACTTGATTGTTATACCCTTGAAAAAGTCAGCAGATATATTTGGCAGTTACTTTAGTACTCATCATGCATTTTTTTTTGTATCATGAATCTACAATTACATCAAAAACATTATGTTTACTAGGCTCCTCCCTTCACCAAATCCTCCCACCTCCCCCCACCAACCCCATTACAGTCACTGCCCATCAGCATAGTAAGACGCTGGAGAATCCCTACTCATCTTCTCTGTGTTGTACAGCCCTCCCTGTGAGCCCCCCCCTACATTACACATGCTAATCGTAATGACCCCTTTCTTTTTACCCTCCCTTATCCCTCCCTTCCCATCCAACCTCCTCAGTCCCTTTCCCTTTGGTAACTGTTAGTCCATTCTTCGGTTCTGTGATTCTGCTACTGTTTTGTTCCTTAAGTTTTTCTTTGTTCTTATACTTCACATATGAGTGAAATCATTTGGTACTTGTCTCTCTCCGCCTGGCTTATTTGACTGAGCATAACACCCTCTAGCTCCATCCATGTTATTGCAAATGGTAGGATTTGTTTTCTTCTTATGGCTGAATAATATTCCACTGTGTATATGTGCCACATCTTTATCCATTCATCTACTGATGGACACTTAGGTTGCTTCCATTTCCTGG